ACCAGTACTCGATTATGAAGAGTCCGGGCGTTCGCAGTGTTATCCCAATCGCTGTCTCCACTCGACTCCGAAACGTTGGTCTCCAAGACATCGCTTCCACCGTCACTGCAATCGCAACAAAACACTCATTAAATGCAATCAAAACACTATATCATTGACGCTATCATTAAAGTAGTCATCCATTGAATCACACATTCATTGAATACCAATTCATAACATGTCTGTTGTTTTTAATGTCAACATTGAATCACTTCTTCGTTAACTAAACTGACACTCAATTCATGTGTTGGAAATCAATTGATCACATCCTTCAAGACATACCTGTTTTGACATCAAATCATTTGAATGACACAAATGGGTGACAATCGATGTCCTGATTGTTGTTTACATGTGTAACACATCCACTGAATCTGTACTTCAAATGCAAACCAAAACAACAATAATATTGTATAACAATTGTGGACAACATTAGCGCCAAAAGCGGTCATCACTTCAAACATTGCACCAAAACATCATTTGAGACATCATTTGTGGCAAACATTCACAATAATTGTCACGTTTTTGTGTTTATCATGTGTTTTGAACGACAAATGTGTGGATAATTAATGATCTGATTTGTGGTCAAAGAGGAATACGATGCAAAACGACGACGTATGACACGATTGCATGATTACATTCATCTCGATATTAATGCTTAATGTCTTGTAATTGATTTTCAGGTGATTTGGAGTGTTTTGAACGGAAGTTTTTGTTCACATAAAGTGCAGTGAGTTTTGCCATCGATTAGCCATTGATTATGATTTGATTGAATGTCTTGTATTTCAGGACAAAGACTCAGCACTTTTGCCGCAATGAGTACAACGTGTCGGGTCTGTGCAGTCGGACGGCGTGTCCGTTGGCTAACATTTGCCGACAGTTGTGGACACGTGTTAGCGATGTCTGTCATTCACGTCAAAGACATGGAAGAGTTTAATAAACTCTTAATCAGGTATTGATTGTCAACACATGACTACAATGTAGTGATCACTCATTTGTTTGAAACCAATTTCAGAGACACTTTAATTGTGACCCACTTTATGGCCGAATGGGCGGAACAGTGTCTTCAGATCAATGATGTCTTCACCGAATTGTCGACAAACAAAGACTACGCGAATGTCATATTTGCCAAAGTATTACACATTTTATTTTACCGATAAATGATGTACTAATCGGTGATATGATTGACGATTAGGTGATCGCCGAAGACATTCCCGAGTTGTCGAAGAAGATGAATGTAACATCAGTTCCCACTTGTATTTTGTTCTCCAAAGCAAAACAATTATCTCGAATAGAAGGCGCAGACGTACCACAACTCACAGCACAAGTCAAACAACTGGCCTTCAAATTGGGATCAAATACCGGCATCACTTCCAGCGCTTCCGACAACAATATAGACGTGCGGCTAAAGGCGCTGATCAATAGGTCACCGGTGATGGTGTTTATGAAGGGCTCGCCGGACGCCCCGCGCTGTGGATTCAGCCGTACTTTGATCTCAATTCTGAACGAAGCGAACATTAAATTCGATACTTTCGACATATTGTCCGACGAAGAGGTTCGCCAGTCTCTGAAGGTGTTGTCCAATTGGCCCACTTATCCACAGGTCTATGCAAAGGGACAACTCGTCGGAGGACTTGATATCATTAAAGTGTGTATTAAATGCAATGCTTTATATGTAATAAATATTAATCATTTGTTTATATGGTTAGGAACTGAAAGAGTCGGGAGAACTGGAAGAATCACTCAACGCTTGAATTGACATATGATTAGACATTTTTTAATAAATAGATTTTAATTTGAATAATATATTTATCACAAATTTATTACATTATAAAACAATTAAAATATGGTTTAAATGTGAGGATTAGACTGTTATACAAACTATTGAAACAAATAGTTGTGTCATTAAGTGATTGCCGCTGATTATGCTTAACATATGTGGGAATCAATTGACGGCAAGTTGTGGTGTTTGGTTGGGACTAATACAAGTGCCACAAAGAGGACACTTGTCTTGAAAGCACAGCCACTTTCTGAGACATATGCGATGGAAATAGTGATTACATTGAGTGATGACAGAGGCGTTGGGAGCACTCATGTCAGTGAAACATATGGCGCAGACATCGTTGTGTTCCTTCAGCTGATTGGTCGTCGCTGACGGCAAACAAGTGGTCTTTTTGTTGGCTTCTCTGCGTCTGATATAACTACGAGCGCCGGTATTGAGTCGTTGCCATACATTGAAATAGCAATGAACTAAGAGTATGAAAGCGTTGGTCCAACTCCACTGACCGGTGATGGCCTCCCAAATGCCCACCACTACAACACTCGTGGCCACAAAGAACTCAACAATCTTAGTGAAGGCGCGCACGTAATACACCGCTTCGTCCAACGACTCGAGCGGTTCGGCGCGTAATGAGTCGTACCATAGGATGCAGTGAACGACCACCAGATCTGCCACTTGTGCCGATGTGAGGACACTTGTCGACAATACCACTGCTAACCAGAAGTCAATGGGAAATATTTGGGACAAAACGTAAGTGACGTGCAGTGGAAAGAGGAAGAGAAAGGCACACAACACAAGCACTTTGATGTGATGCACAATATTCTTGCCGTGATATGCACTCAACGATAGGATCACCGGTTCGGCGATCTCTAACATTGACTGCAAAAGACTGGACAGAACTACAAACAAGATTATAGTGAGGACAGCCATACGCGCCGGTTGTTTCATATCTGTGATGCCCGTCAAGATGGCCAACAAGAATGTGGTCATCCCTTCTTCCCATCCGTTGTGCATCTGTTGAATGTTCGGCGCATTTGGAAGTGTTTGACGACAATTGCCCCACAAATAGAACTTCATTGCAGACAACAAGAAGTATGACATGTAAGTGACCGCCACTGCTGTCGAGAACAACGACACCGGACTAACGCATACAGCGCTGGCGGCGCTCAACACCGAGACATACCAATCGTTTTTATCGTCAGCTGTTGTCTCATAGAGTTTCATAAAGAATGCAATCGACCAGAAGAGGAAGAAATGGGTCGGAACGAAGAGTTTACTGCACAGCCAGACTAGAAGTGCGTGCAATCCGTGGGTTTCGGTCGCACTCAACAGATTAGAGAAGGCGTCCTTCAGTTCACTAAACACTTTAGGCAACCAATGATATACATATCGAAGCAAACTTATGACAACCACTGCTGAACTAAACTTATGGATCACCTGAACAGACAATTAACACTACCATTAGAATCAATGGATAATGTAATCCATGTTATACTCAAACCTGTAGTGATTCGGCGGGAAAGTCAAAAATGCGGGCGAAAACGGGGAGTGAATAACAGGCAAACACTGTGTGACGAACAAACAGTTAGTGAATGACAGATCGGTGTCTCAAAATAGCAAACCTGGAAGTAATGGCTTTTGTGGTCCCTGTAGTAGAACTGACACAACGACAGCGATGGCCACGTGAACCACCAGTAATGAGATCTGTTTGATGGCATTCATCTGCACCAACGATACGGCCAGCGATTCGATGAGCGGAACGCCATTATAGGCATCGATCACATGAACCAAATAATATGATAATAAGTGAGCCGTTATTAGTAAAGCGCCGCAAACAATGTGTGTGTAAAGCAAACGAATCAATGATAACGGAAGTAATAGCAGAAGAAACCCATTAATGAGCGCTAAATCAACACATTTTACAATTAATATAACTGTCAGTCCATATGAATGGCTAATCAAGACCTATATTAGTGACAAAATTGGTCCAAAAGTGGTTGTCTTGTACTTCACGGACATATCTGTTGTGTTGAGATCTCCACCAGTACTCGATTATGAAGAGTCCGGGCGTTCGCAGTGTTATCCCAATCGCTGTCTCCACTCGACTCCGAAACGTTGGTCTCCAAGACATCGCTTCCACCGTCACTGCAATCGCAACAAAACACTCGTTTAAATGCAATCAAAACAGTATATCATTGACGCTATCATTAAAGTAGTCATCCATTGAATCACACATTCATTGAATACCAATTCATAAGTTGTTTTTAATGTCAACATTGAATCACTTCTTCGTTAACTAAACTGACACTCAAGTCATGTGTTGGAAATCAATTGATCACATCCTTCAAGACATACCTGTTTTGACATTAAATCATTTGAATGACACAAATGGGTGACAATCGATGTCCTGATTGTTGTTGACATGAGTAACACATCCACTGAATCTGTACTTCAAATGCAAACCAAAACAACAATAATATTGTATAACAATTGTGGACAACATTAGCGCCAAAAGCGGTCATCACTTCAAACATTACACCAAAACATCATTTGAGACATCATTTGTGGCAAACATTCACAATAATTGTCACGTTTTTGTGTTTACATGTGTTTTGAACGACAAATGTGTTGATAATTAATGATCTGATTTGTGGTCAAAGAGGAGGAATACGATGCAAAACGACGACGTATGACACGATTGCATGATTACATTCGTCTCAATATTAATGATTAATGTCTTGTAATTGATTTTCAGGTGATTTGGAGTGTTTTGAACGGAAGTTTTTGCTCACATAAAGTGCAGTGAGTTTTGCTATCGATTAGCCATTGATTATGATTTGATTGAATGTCTTGTATTTCAGGACAAAGACTCAGCACTTTTGCCGCAATGAGTACAACGTGTCGGGTCTGTGCAGTCGGACGGCGTGTCCGTTGGCTAACATATCGATTAGCCATTGATTATGATTTGATTGAATGTCTTGTATTTCAGGACAAAGACTCAGCACTTTTGCCGCAATGAGTACAACGTGTCGGGTCTGTGCAGTCGGACGGCGTGTCCGTTGGCTAACAGTAATTACGCGACGGTTAGGGAAGAGAAAGGCATTTGTTATTTGTTTGTAAAGACCATCGAAAGAGCGGCCTTTCCATCGAAATTATGGGAAAAGACTAAACTCTCGAAGAACTACGAGAAGGCTTTGGAACAAATCGATAAGAGTTTACTTTATTGGCCGAAACACATGAAACACAGGTGTAAACAGCGGTTAACGAAAATAACACAATATTTAATACGAATGAGACGTTTGGCTCTCAGGAGACAGAAAAAGTTGGTTCCCTTGCAGTCAAAGATCGAGAGACGGGAACGAAGGCGTGAAGTGAAGGCTCTTTTGGCCGCAAAACTCGATAACGCCATCGAAAAGGAGTTATTAGAGAGACTGAAGAGAGGAACGTATGGAGACGTCTATAACTTCCCGCAAACGGCGTTTGAAAAGGCTTTGAATGAGGAGGAGGTCGACAGTGACTCGCAATCACTCAAAGACAAAGAAGTCGAGGAAGAGATGGAAAGCGATACGGAAGAGGCGGCCATTGAGTACGTGGCGGCCAATGACTTCCAAGAGAGTGACTCAGAGATGGAAGACTACGACACGCGTGAAGACATCACTTCAAGTGATGAATCCGACGACGAAAGCAATGATAAGAAGAAATTACGCAAAAAGTCGGTTAAAAGTGGGCCTAAAATTGAAATCGAATTCGAGAGGGAATACGAAACGGCCGGTCCTTCGCGTCTCAAATAGTTGTCATTATATTATCACAAAAATCATTACATTTTATTTGAATAAAAAATAATAAAAGTTTTAATTTTTCTCTAATACTGTCTGTTATTACATAATAAGTCAAAATAAGTTGATATATAAATACATTTGAGCGCAAATTCACTGATATATTTAGTTATATTTATAATATAAATGTCTTTAATTAATATAAAAATCTGAAAATTAAAAACTTTAATTAAAAAAGAGGCACTTAAGAGAAGTTTTCACAAAATACTAAACATAAGTCTACGTAAACACTGAAACAAATAAGTTTGTATATAATGTGTTGTGTTCTCCCATTTATTGTATTCATTTATGTTGTGATTCCGAACGACAACAACACAAACCCTTTTAAATTGAATTATAAATCGTTACAACGAGTTGCTATAGTTTTGACCCTAATATACAGCTATCAATATATTTGGCAATCAATCGGTTTTAAACCATTTGTTGCTTCGCATTATAAATTAGTTATTACTTGAATTTGTTTGCATTCAAAATATAATAAATTATTACAAATAGATTTGATATTTAAATTTAAATTATTGTGTAAATTAGAGGGGAAGCCCTCGTGTGAACGGAATGTCAAATCAGACGTTAAATATATTTTAAAGCTTATAATTGTTGGCAAAGAATCTGTTTATAGATTTGTAATATATTTACACCGATTCTGCGGGACTTTGAAATTCACTCAAAGCCTTAATGGGAGCGATATTTCTCTTTTGCGATCCGCGTCTCACTTTCGCGCGAACCTCTTCTGGCTTTTCTCTTCTGACCAATGGTTTCTTTTCCGGGGCTTTCATTCTCCAGACAACTATCGGCGACTAAATGTGACATATGCGTATAAGTAACACATCATAGCAAACAAATCCATTATATTTACCATCATTTGTTGTCCTCTCGGGTATTTAGTGGAAGCGACGTATGAAGACTTGACAGTGAGAACCACTGTATTCATCAAATTCTTTGCCGCCTGTATTAGTGAAGTGGCGCTATCGAGCTGTTAGGAGACAAACATAACATTTACTATATATTAATATAATGGTTATCAATGAGTTAGTGTTACCCCCGAAACAATTAGATTTCCTGATATGTTCTGGACGTCTGCCTTCACTTTGGAAGTGATATTCAATTGATGACAATATAAAGTAATTCTCGCCAAATATGAAATCAAATCCTTTTTAGTGTCCGATTCGGGGCATTGGTCTGCTATTTGTCGGGCAAAGTTGTCCAGTTTGGTGCCGAACTCTGATATCTTTTTAGCCGCATTGATCACATCCATAGTAGTCTTGAGGGGACCCTTACCACGGGTGAAGTCAGTCATCTCCATCATAATCATACACATCTCTTTGGCGATCACAATAATGTCATTCCCGGTGTCATCCCATTTGGCCACTTCCCGATCAAACTTATTCTTCTCAGTTCTGAATGTCTCGACCTGTTCTGCAATCTTCTCCTTCTCCTCCTCTGAGACGAAACGATAGGCATCTCTTGTATTACTGATTCCTGAGATATCCGGATACTCATCGAAGTCCGTGTGAATACTCGCTGTTTGTAATCAATTAATTAAATTTATAGTTAAAACGTTTATAACGTAAACAATATTGTGTTTCGCTTACATTTGCTTCGAGTCTCATAAGTATTGTCCTCGTATTCGATCTCTGTTTCGGAATCAAGTTCTTCGACAGTTCTGTTGAGAAGTACGGCTCGTCTGATCTCACGGACGCCATCATAAACAAGACGCGACGCATCGATGAACTCATTTTCATCCACTTCTCCGCGCGGATCACTGGTCAGAGCGTCGACTGCCATCTCTACTCTTTCAGCGAATTTAGGCATCACTTGATCTCTTAGACAAACCACTGCTTCCAACACCCGTTCGGTATAATCTCCGGGTTCGTAGTTATCCATCTCAGCGGTCACTACATTACATACGCGAGCAGATCGGCCGCGAATAGCACCGGCAGTTCGGTCCAGACTGTCGGCGTCTCCTTCTTGCAGAGCTAACACACACTTATTCACGTCTTCTAAGATGTGATTCTCAGAAACGGCTAAGAAGTCATCGATGGTAGTGATATCGTCGACCGCTTCGGTAAGGATGCGGACCTGATTATCCCACGCCTCCCGGAAGGCCTCCATGTTCTCGAGGGCCACTTTAGATCGCGGGCGAGCGGCCAGAATGCGCGCCGCGTTTATCACTTGAGGACATAGACTCTCGATCTGAGAGGCGGCGTAACGAACCATTTTGACGCCGTCTTCGTTGGAAGACATACTGCACGCGAGATTTGCCACTTCCACCAGTTTGGACGCGTGTTCAGTGAACACCTGCGCGTATTCCTCCACTTCAGTCACACTTCCCTTCTTCGCCGCTTCGATCAGAACCAGAAGAGGAACGTTGGTCTCGAGGAAGGAGTCGGACACGTGATCGATCACCGCTTTCCTCAGCTGTCGTCTCAAATCCTTTGTTTTGCGATTCATGTGATCAATCGCTTTGCCCAACGATTCTTCGGGCTCTCGACGCCCGGCGTTTGCCATATATTCCGAGAGCAAGTCCTGCAGCGCCTGACGAACGGCATTACATTCGGCAACAATCCTCTCCCGGCGCTCATCTCTAGTACACGAAGAGTCGGCCATAAGTGCGGCGCCGCTTATAATGCTTTCCAGCCTTTCTTCTAGTAGAGGACGCGTTCGCATCTCATTATAAACCAATGGATCCATAATAATGCTGTCATCGAAGTCGTCGAGAGCTGCGGCCAGTTCTCCGGGACCGTCGAATGGAAGGCCTGTGAGGCCGTTGTTTGCGGGCTTTCCCTGAGCGACATCACTGATAGCACTGACAGCTTCGCAAACCTGTCTGAATATGAAGTCTCTGTTCTCCTTAGCGGCTGACAGTTCCGGATGTCTGACGTAGACCTTGGAAGCGGTCAATAACATCATACAATTCTTCTTAAGTATAGCCCGAGCGGCCGCCAAGTCGTCCCTCAGTCGCGGGTCTTTCAGCTCTGCCTGTCTTTTGGCCGCTTGACTGATAAGATCGGCAGTATTTTTGCCGAAGCTTTTGAACGATTCCACTAATTCTGAATGACTGGAAGCGCTCTTAACTCTATCCAAATCATTCTCAACCACTTGTAATGACTTGAGAAGTCGATGGACGTCTACCATATCGGCCAGAATCAAAAGTCTGGTCACAGCAGACAACAGATTTCGTGCGGCTTTTACCATATTTCCCCTCTTTATTGAACTGCACGGGTCTTCAGCGAACTCTCGCGACGCCTTTCCCATCGTTTCGCCCGCTTTTTTCACCTCTTCTACGGCTAAAAGCATTTCCGATTTGATGTCTGGATTTTCCAGAGCTATCTCTTCGCCCTTTAGGATGAAGTTTTCGGTGGCCTTCTCTACGGCGGCCACCAATACGTGAGCCCTCTTAGACCTGCCCTTCTTCTTCTTGGACGGACCCTTTGTGTTGACCAAAGTTGTCACCTAATGGTGAAGACGTGTCAAAGACATGATTAGCACTCATTCAACACTACGGCCACACCGTCTACAGACCTGCATCACCAGCGGTTCCAATGTCTTCTCTACCGAATGTGTTTTGATCTCGAGGTTCTTGGGATCCCATTTGACGGCTATTTGATTGTTAATCGAGTGGTTATTATTGTTATGAATATTGTTATTATAAATGCCATTATTGTTAACCGAAACACCATTTGATGCCATTTTCACACAATTATACCAAAAATAGATTCAAAAATAGAAATTTGTATTCAATTTGAAATAATTTACAAAATTGTCATTTAATGTGAAGAAAATGTGACAAAACGTTAACGTCTTGTCATTTGTTTCAATAAATAAATCAATTGTTTATCAAATAAATTGTCGTTTAAATGAACGCTATATTGAGTTTCAATGGCTTTCAAACATAACTGGCTTTCGCTATAATGAACGCCAAATGCGCCCAATATTTGCCACAAACACTGCATTCAATACATTTCCAAACCGTTTCCCCAAACTATACAAACTTAAAAATGCAAATAATGTGTATATTGTATATCAAGCGCTACAGTATATCGTATGAATTGATCAATTCATTAGTTTTAGTGTATATTTTATGATTGATTTCTGAATTTAATTTAAAAATTAATAAAATGCAAGAAATATATGAAGGCGTCGGGCATTGAGGCGCCCATAGGCTGCGGATTTGTGTTGATATGCATTACTAACGACAGCCACACAAACGTTAACGCCTTGTGACTCATAAACAGTGAAATGAGATAAACATTTAAATGTTTCAAATATTTCATACAATGGTCTCAAATGTGCGCCAAATTTGAAATACATATCACTTTAAATACATTTATTTTAAATGGTTTAACAATTTTATTGTAAATATTATAACACTTTTTGTTTAATACATTGATTTGTACGCAATGTTTGAACATAAATACAAATACTATTAATAATACAAATCTATCAAAAATCTATAAGAAATAATGTATTGAGTTATTGGACTCACAAATCAAAGATAACGTAAATTTATAAATATTACATAAATTAAAACCAATAAAAATTGATTTATTATACAATTATATAATCAATGAATTGAGTTATATTAGAGTATTGGTTGACTGAAAACCACGCGTCCCTTAAGACATCCGGAAGCGATTTGGTAGTGAGTGGGAGAGAATTTAGTGGTCACCACAAAGTCCGGGTGACATAAGCTCTTCTTGAGCTCGTATAACACTTTTGGTTCATCTGATAAACAATCGGACATTTGTGAGCACTTGTCGTCAAAGGAGAGCAATCGATAGCCAAACTGATAGGGAGAGCAGACAATCCTTCCGTCGCGACTAAAACACAACTCTTTAATGAATCCGTGGTTTTCATTCAATTCGTTGATGTAATACTTTAAACGCGGATTGTTTTTATAGACATAGATATCGGAATCACTGTTTGGCAAACAATGTCTGTTTTGGCGGACAAACATTGTGTGCGGTTGTGTTGACCCCATTTGATTGCTGATCACTATAATAGAAGTCTCGGGCAAATCATTGGAATTGACAGTATTTTCAGTTCCGTTAGAATTGATTTGAGATAACTTTTGTCTCGAAAAATTGGATTCTTGGGGTCTTTTAATTGATTTCAATTCTAATGGTTTGTCTGAACTCATGATATCATGAATGCACGTCCATTCGGACAACTCGTCGGCCGCCGTATTCCTCGAGAGTACAGACCAACCAAAGGGGTGAACATCTAATGTAGTTATGTATCCATTTTTGTCAATCTCTGGAAAATCTGAAATCAATTCAACTCTATTTGTTTTGGCAGTAAAGAGTGGGTTAACCCATGAGCCCAAGTCTTGGCCATAACTACAGTCGTCTTGCATTATCCGATATAAATCGGGCACAAAATCTCTCAAATCGTCGGCTAATGTATTCAAATCCAAGTCATGAATAATAAGAAGATATCCGTCAGCCGTCGATATAATCATTTTAGTCGAGTCGGGCGTCAATACCATTCGTAACATATTCTTGATTTGGAGCACATTCTGCGGACTACAAGACGAGCCATTGATATCCCATTTGAGAACCGTTTGGTCGTAAGCGGCCGACAGAAGTACACCCCGAGAGCTGTCGTATTCAATACTCTTCACCCAATTTTGGTGTCCTTTTAATGACTTGATTTTTTTGCTACAATTCCTGAGATCCCAAACGGCGAGAGTTTTGTCATCAGAACACGTGACAAAAGTTCTTGTGTCCAAGAATTTGACTAAATTAACGCACGAATTGTGAGCGTTTGGGATCTCTTTGCATAACCGGTAAGAGTTGGCACAAAATATCAATACTTTCTTGTTTTCTGTGGCCGCCACTAATGTACGCCTGGTTTGCGGCAAACAATACAACTCATGAGTGAAATGTGGTCACCATTTGAATGGCATTCAAGACATACCCGTCGGGACTGTACTCCACGTTGAATACGGCGCCGGTATGTGAACTGCAAACACATCCCTTCCCATCAATACTATCCCAGATATACTCCTTTCGAGTGGACATCGATTTGTAGAGATTCAGTGAGAGTTCACTCCTGAAGGTTAGATCCAATGTTTGGCCCAACAATTGTCTCCAATTGTGGAAATGTGGCCAAAAGTGACCACTTTTTCGGTAATCCATAACTCAAGTAATCAGTGAAACATTGTTTGTAAACAAAACTATTAAATACCAAAACACGTGACTCTTCTCTACTCATATCAACGGGACTTTCCATAGGTTTCCATAGGGTTTGCATTGAATGCTGTGTTTGTACTCATTGTCTGCACTCAACACTTGTTTACACAATTTACACACTTTTATACATATTTATCAGATCTGATCCCAAGAAATCTCTTCAATGACAAGTGATTAGTTCAACTGCTCGTATAGTCTCTTATAGTCTACCATTAATTTGCAAACCATTTGATTAATCCATTACTTGTAACCATGTTTTGTCTCAATCAATGCAAGTCTTCACTCAAAGTACGCAAAATTAGTTTAAATTGATTTTAAAATAAATGTTTAATTGATTTTAATTTCTGTCAGAATATAAGCAATGCTTTCATGCAATACAATGGCCTCAAAGTTGTGTCGGCTTTGAGTGGTGGCCACAGATCTACTCTTAGCCTTCAAATCAATGCCAGAAACGCATCGACACAACCGTTGACTCAGTTATCTGAAGATGAGATGGCGATGAAAGACATCGTACAAAGACTGGCACAACAGAAGATACAGCCTTTGGTCAAACAGATGGACCAGAACTCAATGATGGATAAGTCTGTGATCGACGCCCTCTTCCAGAATGGGGTAAATGTCTTATCAAATGATTGGTATCGACACAACACTTATAGTATGTGTATTAACTTAATGAAAACAATGTCTTAACAGCTAATGGCAGTGGATGTGGATCCGAAATACGGTGGCACCGGATCTTCATTTTTCTCAGCAATGCTTGTGATCGAGGAGTTGGCAAAAGTGGATCCGTCTGTCAGTGTCTTCTGTGACGTACAAAACACTTTAGTTATTCAGACGTTTACTCGATTCGCGTCCGAAGAGCAAAGAGTGAAATATTTGCCACGAATTGCAAAAGATTGTGTAAAATGAGTGCTCATTATATTTGAATGCCATTTAATTGTAATAATTGATTGACTCAAAGGTCGGCGCATTTTGTCTCTCGGAACCGGACTCTGGTTCGGACGCGTTTGCCCTCAAGACCAATGCCGTGAAAGAGGGCAGTAATTATGTGCTAAATGGGACCAAATGTTGGATAACAAATGCAGAACACGCGGGACTATTCATTGTCTACGCGAACGCCAATCCGTCCGCCGGGTATAAAGGGATCACTTGTTTTATTGTTGAACGCAATACTCCGGGACTGACTGTTGCCAAACACGAGGATAAACTGGGTATTCGTGCCTCGAGTACGTGTCCCGTAATCTTCGATAACGTTAAAGTGAGTGTTGTGTTGAAGTATACGCTATGATTGGTATTAATTGTGGCCATTGTGTTGATGATTAGGTACCGGAGAGCAATGTGGTGGGACAGGTGGGTCACGGCTATAAGTACGCGATCGGCACTTTGAATGAGGGTCGCATCGGTATTGGCGCTCAGATGTTGGGTCTGGCGGAGGGCTGTTTCGATCACGCCGTCAAATACACGCTCGAAAGGAAACAATTCGGTCAACGAATTTTTGATTTTCAGGTAATTTGCTTTTCAATGTGCGATTAAATATGAAATGAGAGCAATATTTTGAGTGATTATTTTGTGGCCCAAATGAGGGAATGCAACACCAAATCGCTAGAATAGGCGCCGAAATAGAAGCGGCAAAACTGTTGGTCTATAACGCGGCCCGACTTCGCGACGCGAAGAAACCGTTCATCAAAGAGGCGGCGATCGCTAAGTTATACGCGTCTGAAGTGGCGGCCAATGCATCGGAAAAATGTGTTGAATGGTTGGGTGGCGTCGGCTTTACGCGTGACTTTCCAGTCGAGAAATATTATCGCGACTCAAAAATAGGTGCCATATATGAGGGCACCTCTAATATACAGCTCAACACTATTGCCAAACACATCGCCGATGAATACAAATAGTAATTTTTACTCGACTCGAGTCTTTAAATTGTTAAAAACACTTGTTTTGCAAATTATGATTACTTTTCTAAATATTTTTACAACAAAATATAAATAAAGAAATTTATTTTCTATAATTTGTATATTAATTGAGTATAATATTTGATCCAAAGTGAAGATCCAATCAATTAAACTAATTATTTATCGTCGAAAAAGTTGTTGCAATTATATCATAATTATATCATAATAAATAATATTTATATTCATTTTTAATATGCAGTGTTTTTATGATCAACATTGATCAATGTTCATAAATTGCAGTTGGCACAAAATTGAACACATTGGCTAATTAGTAAATATGATTAAAAATCATTCATACTTAAATTCGATTAATTTATTATTTTTATTGAAAGAAATGAGCTATTTTTAAAGAATTGTAAAATACATAGTTGCACAGTACTGAATAACTAACAATAATTGTAAGAATTGATTATGTTCATGCTACAATGTGATAAATATTAGCTCAATTGGAAACTAAGTGGCCTATGATTTTTGTAGTGTAGTTAGATTATGAAAATAGTATCAATATTTAAGTTGACATTCTTTGGGAACAGAAATCAAGTTTTATAAAGATTGAACGTTTGGTCTGTATACTGGAAATTTTGGAAATGTGTCGGAATTATTTTGAAAAATGTGCTCTCAAATATTTGATTAAAAATTATTATATTAAAGTAAAAAATAATCATACACTGATAATACATCGATAAATACCAAAATGATATCCTCCCATAGAAATACATTATTTTGAAGTGTCATATTAAAAATTCCTGTCTTAAGTATTGAAACGATTTTTATTAAAACTTTATTTTTGATGTTTAGGAATGTTACTTTAAATTGTGATATCATTTGTCATATAAAGACAAATTTTATACTTTATAATTCTATTTACACTAGATGGTAGTTGGGCCGGTAGGATATCAAATGAGCTAATATTAGTGAATCAGGAATTTAAGCATCATTTTGGCAAACATCCTACATTATTCACTATTTCAGATCGTTGTAAAATATGAATGTAAATGTAAAATTATTTGTTAAAAATTACATTAATTACAAATAAATACGCATTTTATTATTGAATATACTAAATTAATACTAATAAATAAATAAACTGTATCATTATAACTACATAATTAAATTATATTTTAGTTCAAAAGGTTAGATTTCGATAAATGTTTTCCAAGTATGACATACACTGTTGAATAGAGTGGGGTCTATACGACTTCCATTGGATGAAATAAATGAATACATTTTACAGTATTTTAAGAATTAATTGTAATAAAATTCAAAATAGAATTCATTAGTAACATGATAAAACCACTTAATTTAGTTATATAAACTTAATTTTATAACTTATAAAATTTAGACGAAAATACATTAGAAACATGAAGATGTTCATTGTCAAATCTTAATACAGTATTTCAAACATTTTAAGTCAATATTATTTTGAATGCAACGCTCGGTCTCCTTAAATATAGAGTATAAAGAGTTTACAGTGTTTTGATTATAACATCAAGATATGGGTACAAAATTTAACCAGATGTGTCCATAAACAAAGATATTAACCAGGTTTATAGGTGTTATTAAAATTTTAAAATTCTTTAAACAATTAAAGTTCTAATTTTACAACTATGGAAATAGTACCAGGATTAAAAATTCTCTACTGTACATGTTTTAATTACTGTAATACTTTAACTTGTACTTTAATACATGGCAAGCAGTTGACATATTTAGAATTATATTAATAATTTATTCCAAAAATCCTGATATAAGTGTTAACTTATATTTAATTTTGAACCATTTGGTACTGTATATACAATGTACTAATTGAAGTCTATCAAAATTGATCAAATAATTTTTGAACCGAGAGGATTTCGAAATTCGGACTTAATTGAATGAAGTTATCTCAAAAACTAATTAAGTGTCACTTTTGTATGTAATTGATGATGATAATTGGTAACTTTTTATTTATTCGTATTGTAATTGAAATTATAGTTAATCTAATAAATTAAAAATTTACTAACAAATAATCACTTGTAAAGTGAAAAAATTACAATCAACTACTGAACCAATCTTACCATAAATATTATTATATAAAATATTAATTTTTGATTATTATATAATACCTTCAAATATTGTTTAAAAATGTGTTTAAAATAGAGGGACCAATATCATAAAATAATGTGGCTGATAAATGCTTGACAACATTTATACTATGACAACATTTTGTTAATCTATTTAAAGAAGTGATTTTCAATAGTAATTGAAAATATATAGAAATTATATATTAAATTATATCCTATTATAGTTTTCTAGAGTATTATGTAATATATAGTATTTGATAAGTAAAGGAATGGCCTTTACTCTAGCATTCAATTTAATCATAGATAAAATGTGTTTAAAGTAATTCACATACACTATAGAGTATAAGACATAACAAACAATTTTCGATTTAAGCAAACATTATGTGTTTGTGAGAGTATAGAGAATCATATGAATGCTTGTATATTAGTTTCAAAATTGTTATAAATAAGTCTATAATAGTGTTGTCATTGCATTCACATAAACAGAATTGAGTGCAGAATAAAGACAACTAAAGACTACGAGAGTATAGAAAGAATGAATGGCTATAAGTAGTGAATAGTGAGGTATAGAGTAGAGTATATTATATGGTATGTATGGTCTGGCAATGGGTATGTGTTGGGCGATGATGTGTATGGAAGCAAATGATGATAACTAACGTTTTGTGACTCGTATTGTTGAGTTGCAAACATTTATTATGTTTTCTATGATATTAGCGAAGGGAAAGAAAGCAAAGGAAGAGGCAGTGAGTGCTGTGTTTGTCATTTTGCAAATAAATCTCAATATTTTGAGTAAAACACATGTTTGCGGATCGAGAGGAACGGTAATGCGATTCGTATGGAAAGGTAAAGCCAATGACAAATGGGTATAAGAAATTGGATCAGAGATTCACTATATATTCTGTACATTCACTTGTCGTCAGTGTTTTTGGCAAACTTTTTCTCACAAATGCGAGGCGTTTATAGCGTTTACTTGAGTTTTTTGGTTTACTTTTCCCTCTCTTTACACTCAATAATATAAGATTTAGGCATTGATTTGTTGTTACAAACAATGTTTTTAGAGAAACTATTGTCGCTATTGATCGCTATATTCATCGCACAATAGCTTCAAAAAATAAGTTTTTATACCTTATTTATAGGTCACATAAAAGTTGGGTTTGTTTGTTGGTCTGTCTGTCTGTCCAGCACTACAACAGTGGCTATATTTTTATTAAATGCATTTCTCATTCAAAATGTCTTTCCATTCAAATTAACTTTCAATCGAAGTGCTCGACCGCTGGACCACCGCCTGAGACACTCTCTCAGACCTTAACCTATTGTCCTCTCTATTATGAGAGCGGCTAATAATGTGTGCGATATATAAATATATTGATTCAAAATACTGCATATTATATGATTGAACAAAAAATCACTCTTTCTGTGATTTTAAAACTCCATTTTCAATAAGCATTCATATAATGATTACAATAGATTTAAGTATTGATGGCTTCATCTCTTTTATGCACGTCTTTCAATAGACCACTAGTTATAAGTAAAACCATTGATTCACTCATTTGTACACAGAATGCGATCAGAGCTCATACTGGGCTTCAATACGGAATACCAGTTATATATAATATAAACATTATTATATGTAATGTTTATAAAACATCTCATTTTTACCACAAAAAAATATTGTCCATTCATTGTATGCCTTCTTCCACTTCATTGTCAACGTTCATAGGCTTTCAATTGTAAAGATATGCACGTTTTGGGGCACATGTTGTGGCACCGCATTAACACTCTATCTCTCTTTCTATACAAGACATCTCAATCGCTCACTCCATCACTCCATACGCGTGTATCCATTAACACATTCTTTCATCACATTATAGCATAACTTCCATCACTTTTCTTATTAGATTTTATTTGATGTTTAATTTGATGTTTTCATAAAGTTTTCAAACTTTTCTCGCGGCTCTGCTATCGATTTAAAACTGCTTTAATTTTTTTGATATAACATTTCACATACAATATATTGACAAAAGGGAAGGAAATACTGTACGAGGTAAATTAAAAATAGATAATAAGAAATACAATGTATATTAAACTGGATTTAAAGAACGTTTAGATTGTGTTATTGTATAATTGTGTTGAGAACCAAATAATTAATTGTTAAAGAGATTACAGTCTATTGTAGTTTTGCTTTTCTTGTTATACTTATAAATAGAGTATAGTTTATAGTAAACTAACAAATTTATTGTAAATAATTGTAAATGTAATTGTAAATATCAATTAAAGTAAGCGAAATATTTATTATACTGTATTTTACTATAGATTCTATACGGTAACATCATTCAGTGTTTAAAACTGTTCTGTATGTTAAATTATTATTACATATAACAAATAACAAAGTTGGTATATTGTAACAATTTGTCAACCAAAAGCATTCTTAATATGTTTCCTGATTTACTATACTATAGCAATGAATTCAATGTGTGTTTGACTTGAAGTGCTCATAAATGTCAAAATAGGACATTGAGTTTGCTTTTCTGTAAACACAAAGTAGAAAATACTTGTGCTAACAATGGATGCGAGTCTTGATTGTTAAAGTTTAGCACAAACTCTATTAATTATATAAACATATTATTGCCATTTAAATGTATAGAAGTGTAACATAATATTCTCATTGGATTTGCATTTAATCAAAAGCTTTTAGATGTGTTATTATGTTATATGTATTAAATATTAGATAAGTGAGAGTTGATGTGAAGGGAACTGATGTAAAGTTGACCCAAAAATGTTGCCCCTCCACCCCTCCCCTCCACCCATTCTTGAATAAATGGCAATGTTGTGAGTGTATTGGGCAGTGCATAGGGTTTCGATTTAATATTTGATCAGTGAATGGGATATTTTAACCTATACTCCACTCCACTCTACAGAATGCAGTGCTTTATATATGGACTTAATATAAGAAGATTTCAACTCAAGTGCATCTCAAGGGATTGACGGCATCACAACATTTGGGATCCAAACAAATCACTGCAAAGCCATGAATGAATCAAAAGATACTGTTTTTTATATTCAACTAATGATTAATGGTATATAAAATTTGACGGCATTTTAAAGTCAAGTACTAAAACGTATTCCGCTTTATATACAGACTATTTTCAACCACTTTTCAACTATTCTTCCCTTTCATACGATTCTCTGCTTTTGCTTAAAAAGTAGAGTTAATTTAAACCGACTTTTCTTTAACTTTACTGAACACAACACAAACTGTCGTATATATAATGTTATATAATGTTTTCAAATTTCGGCTCTTTTCAAACCAATTATGGATTTTATTTTATAAATTTGTTTCAAAACATTTTCTAACGTATTCTAACTATTGATATAAGAATATTTTGTAAATATTTATAAAACATAATATTTTCTTCAATTTCTCTAGTTTATGAAAAACAGTTAACAAAAATAAGAAATACAATTTTTAATACTATACAGCAACTTAATTTTAGTGCAGAATTTTTACTTATAGAGAATAATTTAAAATTAAAATTTTATTGTGAATTTTAAAAGAGTTTTTATTATTTATGTTTTAAATAAAATATAGTTACAAAAGAAATGCTATGTTTAGTGTTATTTTGTTAGAAAGCATTATTGCTATACATTTACTTCGATATAATGGTTAAAATTTAAAAGCTTTGCCAAAAGACATTTGAAGTAATACAAGATCTCATTGTGAAATCTTTTAGCTTTCAATTCTTTCGCTTTCATTGGTCTTTATTAATGTTAAAAACAAATACAATTCATGTATAATGTTTGTGACCAATATTTCTACAATCAATTACCGTATAAGAAGCTAAACGCAAATTGCAGTGCTTTGAGTGCTTTCCATCAATGAAATTAGTAAACAATTAAATTCACGCAAATTAGTTGTTTCTGTGGTTCATTATATCAACATTTATTAATTACTTACAATATACTATCGAAATATTTACAAAACAGACAACTTATCATTTTTACCATTGAGAAAATTAATGAGATTTTAGTTGTAAGCAGTAAAACATTTTCAAAATTATTTACAATGTTTTGCAACAAAATATGCTATAAAGTTGACAAAAATTTGCAAATGTTTGCCAATTCTATAAGTTTTATAAAACATGAAACTCTCTCTACTTTAATCCACTTAACTTAAGCTCACATTTAAATCTTTAAATAAAATTTTCATTTCTTTCTTTTAATAAAACTGATGTCAAGAAAATTTTTTTACATAAAGAGTGTAACAATAACTGTTAAATAATTTATATATAAATGCATTGTTTTCCCATTCGTTTGGTTCACTTAAAAACCTTTCAATTCATTCTTAACTATTTGTCTCTGAAGTCAAAAGAGAAAGGTTTTGGAAATAGAAAACACAGTTTAAAGAAGTAATAGGAATCCTAACAAAAAACGTTCTGATTTTGCAGAGATTTAAACTTCAATTTTTCTTTATCAGACTCTAAAGACTTATTTATATTCATATCATTAAGTATTTTGTGTTCAATTTTGGTGCACTTTATTATTCAATTTGAAATAAGGAATTAATTTCTAAATAATTTATTTTCAATTTCAAGACTTATATGAATTTGGTTTGAATTTAAAATTCTTTTTGAAAATTATTATATTTTAAGTATTTTGCTTAATGTTAAGAATAACCAAATTTTAATTATAAGTTTTTAATGATGTTATTTAAAATCAACAAGATATATTCTATATTAAATTAAAGTTTTAAATGTAGCTATAAAGTAAATTCAATCATCACTGTATGAGTATATAAAAATATTAATTTAAAACAAATTAAAATAGCAAGTGACAAACACAATATATACTGTGTATTGTAATACATGCTGTACTTTCATAGTGTTCACGATTGTTATTCACTGGATGTTTGACATGATTTCACGGGACATCAATTTGGATGATTTCCATCCAAAATAAAGCACTTATTTTTTGACAGATCGGACACAATTCCCGTTAGAATTGACAGAATGTGTATTTTCATACATTTGCTTTGTATAAGAAATTATAACTTAAGACCAATTTTATCCTATTATACATCGCTTCCATTCGTTGCACAGAATTCTAACAAAATATAAGTTCTTTACTAATAATATTCATGAAATTCTCTCTCTCTCTCTCTCTCTCTCTCGTACACATAAACATACAGTTAAATCTCTTGAGAGACATAAAATGAAAATAAGAGAATCAAGGATGGGAAAGATTCAAATCATAGACATTGACAGAAAACCACTTCAATTGTTTGTAATGTTTACAGATATTCTAAATGTGAAAATGATGTGAAAATAAATTTTCAGTGTTTAATGTTTGAGATATGCATTGCGAATGAATGCATGCATTTGAGCGTAAAAACCAATTTACAACAAAACCAAACTCTACTGACAACAAGTCGGAGTCAATTAGCAAACCTGAAAGAATGCCCTATTCTTCACATAATTTGCAATTTCATGATTCGTTCATCATTTGCTAAATTGTAATACAAGAGTAAACATAATATATTTTTTAAACGAACACAAGAATGTTGACAATAAAGTAAATTTATAATACAGTTTATTTTACCACACATTATGTATATAATGTAAATATAAATTTGATAAACGACCCTATTTTCAGTATATTTGCAATTGTAATTGCTTTTTCCAGATATTATTTAAATTTGTTAATTCATTTGAAAACACAAATTAAAATTGTTTTAAATAGATTGCTTTAGGTATGGTATTGATTATATTTCACTTGTCAACGGATCTACCATTTAATTCTTGTCAACAAATAATCATTTTGTATTTAAACTCTAAGAAGAGCCGCTATCCCATTATCCCTGCAAATCATATTTGCTATCTCTATGTTTCATAAATTGATTTAATGGTAATGGCATTGCTTTTACTAATTTGTTTTGTTCACTGACTTTTCATTCACAGCATTCTTAATACACATGACATCTGAAACGTTATTCACAAATAAAATCAAAACAAAAATATCCAATATTATAGTTAATTGTATATAAACTAATGCCTGTGTGTTTAACACAATAGTTAGAGAGAGAGAGAGAGAGAGAGAGGTGTATAGAGACAAAGTGTCTTTTAGGAGGCAATCAATTTTAGTGAATTTTGTGTAAATCCAATACAGAATTGAGTTGTGAATGCAATGAATGGTTTTGAGTACTGTTTGTGTTGTTTAGCGTTCAATGCATGTAAAGATAAAACACATTTCGTTTATCCCATAAAAATAACGTTAAATCCGTTTTAACCCATTTTATGATTGCATTAAATTCAATATTAAAACAAGAAATACGAGTTGACTCGTCCACTAAAAGCATCTCTAAATCACTAAAACAATGTCTCGATCCGTGTTTTCAAAATCATTGAGAATTTAGTTGAGGATTAGGAGTGAATAGGATTTTGTGAGTTCACGGCTATAAATAAATTGTGTGACCATTAAAAGAGCAAATGTTATTATAAGAAGACTTTTATTATCCAATTTTCGACTAAATTAAAGTATAAGTAAAAGCAACTAATCATTCAATTAAATACTATCCTTAATATTTACATTACATTTAAATCTCTAACGTTAAGAATCAATGCATTAAACGTTTAATTATTTGATTCATTTGTTAATCATTTAATTATCTTATGAATGAAACATTCGTATTGATTATAACCTTATTTACATTCAATACTTATTTCATTGAAAATATATGTCATTACATACTATCCATCGGTAAAGTTGTATTCAATAATTTGCTTTCTGTATAAATGATTCAAATTATTCTCTAATTATATAAATGAAAGAACACTGATATTAATATTAAACAATAAATATGTGATTGAAATTACACTTTTGTTTTGTTCATTAATCTTATGTACAAATAGCTAAAAGATTATACAAAAAACGCATAGAGATATACAATACTGTATATATATTTCAAATAAATTGCTAAAATCAGACCAAACCAGATATGGTTGGGGTTCGTATGGCACCGGCCGTCGCCGCTGAAGCCACAGCTGAGTTCATGTGACTTCCGGATGATATGAAAGCCGCGGCCGATGAGTGATGTGAGGGATGATAATAGTATGAAGAGAGGGCCGCCTGAAGAGAGGCGGCCGCGTTGTCCGCGTGACCAGAACTGCTGAGACCAGAGCCGTTTGCGGATGTGTTTGGGTTGCCGTTAGTGTCGTGAGTGTGTGTGTGATGTCCGGGATGTCCACCACTTGTGTGGTATAGGATAGGAACGGCTCGAATGCGTTGAGCGGCCGCGTGAGCCATATTCGCCGCCTCCAACTCAGCGGCCAATTGACGTTTCCATTTATTTCGCCGATTCTTTACAATACAATACATTTCACAATTAAACAAATAATACATTTATATTATATTCAATCCTTCAGTACCTGAAACCATATTTTCACCTAAAAGTTAAACAAATAGTACATTCATTAGAAGAATATTTGAATGAATGTGACAAATATGAGGACTGACTTGAGTTTCTGTGAGATGAAGAGAGGCCGCGAGTCCCGCCCGCTCTGAACTCGATAGGTATCGCTTCATATCAAAGGTTGACTCCAATTGGAAGACTTGACTTCTGGTAAAAACAGTTCTCGTCTTCTTCTTCCGTCGGTTTCCATTCATACCATTATTGTTGTGAAGAGCGGATGAGCTGTCTTTGAGTCGTGAGGAACCGTTTAATTTATTCTTAGTGTGAATCGAGTCCTTCTCAGAGCAACTGTCCGATTGGTTGTCGTCTTCGAGATCGATATCTTCTCCGTGGTCTGAATGGGATGTATTGCAGTGTCCAATGCATGGCGACAATGGACTCGAAGCCATGGACCGACTGTCACTCCTTTCCCCATAATTTAAGCTAATTTTGCTGTTAATCGTCGAAATGGAGTCATTATTATTGGTGACCGAAACGCTTCGGTGACTAAACACTAAACAAATGAAATGTAAATAACAGTTAATTATAGTAATTATTGGACACATATGTTGGAGAGGAGTCTCTCATCTGTTGTTCACATCATTTTGCATACATTCGTGGCATTCATGCCATTATTTAATCATTCAATTACTTTCCGCTATAATATAGCAGAACCCATACCTACTATACAATACATGTTCCTATAGTGCAGTGCTATTTATATACCAAACTCCTATTCCGTGCAGAAACTAGTTTTTTAACACTTCTCTCTAAAAGCTATCCGTTTGTGACGGTTGTGTTCGCTCTCTATCTAAACGCCTAACGAGTATTCATCAGTTTATTTAATTAATTGTTTCTATCAATTCAGTACTTGTGATCATCTCTCTCTCTCTCTCTCTCTCTCTCTCTCTCTCTCTCTCTAAAGTAGAAAAATGTGAAAACAAAAGTAATTATATGATTCAATTGAATTATTTTGAAATGAAAAACTAATATAGAGTTATTATATGTTATATAAATATCTGATTACAAACTAACGATGAAATAGAGAGGAATCATTGGACTATAGAAATATTTAAGTTTATTACTGTATTGTATTATATATTGTATTATACATAAGAATATAGAGTATTAATATGTATATAATATAAATAATGAAATTCATAACAATAAAATGAATATTGATTAAAATTAATATAAAGTGCTATTGTGTTATATATAATGAGTTGGTTAATGTATTTTTAATACTCTCAATCATATTATTTTACTGATAATAGACAATCACAGGTCGATTCATTTGATTCATTCATTTTTGTTAATCTCTCTCAAGAGCTTATCAATGATTAAATGCAGAAAAGATGTAATAAAATGAATACAATAGATATGAGAGGCATATACTGTATATAAAGCATAAGAGACTGGTTTGTGAGCTAAAGTATATGATTTGCATAACATATTGAACATCAGGTTTGGTTAATATTAAAGTCTATGAAAAGTACATTTAGGGGGATATTAAGCGGCAATTCATTGCGAAACGTATTGCTACGGAAAGCTCATTAAAATTTAATAATTCCGACCAATTATGCTTATGGATGCTTATAGTGTTCATAGTGTTCATCGCTTACTATACTTACCATCCAAACGATGCTTACAATGCTTGCAATGCTTATGGAACTTATGGTACTTATTGATGCTCTGCTCGATTGGGCTTAATCTCCTAAAGTCGAGGGGTTGGGTCGCCAAATGCACAAATACGTCAATTCTCTCTCTCTCTCTCTCTCTCTCTCTTTCTGCATTTAATCATTGATAAGCTCTTGAGAGAGATTAACAAAAATGAATGAATCAAATGAATCGACCTGTGATTGCCTCCTAAAAGACACTTTGTCTCTATACACCTCTCTCTCTCTCTCTCTCTGCTGTCTATTTGTTTGGATGTGTGCCACTCCTGAAGTTTTCACAGCCATCCATACCATCCATATATTCCCTATAGAATTGATTTAATCCTAAACTATAGAACCCAATAGAAACTGTTTAATTCATTTTGGGATACTTTCAACAAATTATTTTTCGTGTGTTTATGATATCATAAGAATGATTCAAACAATTGCAAAATTATTATTATGACAATAATTTATAAACTACTTCACAAATGAGTTTAATTGCTATTTACTAGTTGTGAATTAGCATAAAGTGATAAATGTCCACTTTACATCATGCTCAAGTAAAGCATAACATTAGCTTTTGGTAATATAACGAAAACATTTTCAATTTAGCATTTGTTTGATTGGTATGGGTTTGCGTTGAGTTGTGGTCTTATGATAATTTTGATGGCATTCACTGATCGGTTCATTAGATCATTAAAAGCCATTTAAATTCATTAGAGTTTATTAGAATTGTAGTAAATATTTAAAAGCATTACTATATTCACCGTTCAGTTACTCATCTCTATTTGTAACCTAAGGGCGGAACCTATTTTGAAGCAGTGCTGGTATTACAAGCTTTAAAGGCATTACAGAATTGCGAATAGAAAATAGAGTCAAATAATGTATAAAATAGTGAAAAGAGATGAATAGAAAGTGCATTGAAAAGTGCTTTCGTTCACAGTATTTACACAGTTATTGACATTTGTAAGTGAAATCTACTAATAGCTCCAAATAGCACTTTCACTCAACTTCTATCATTCATATAAGACTTTTAAGTTACAAAACATTACTTCTATAATGGATAAGGCATTTGTTGTTTCACTTTGATTACAGACTTCATTCATTCATAACTTTAAAATCATTTATATTATAAAATGAAACTATTGTTTGGACAGCAATGAAAGCTATTCAACTAATTATAGCAATTAATTTGCCCTTTAAATGATTATAATAATAAAAATTGATTGTTATATTTTGATGTTTTATAACAAGTTTGCGTGAATACAGAACTAACACATGTCTAGAATGTATTGCTATTCAATGATAATAATAGTTAGAGTGTAAAGAGATAGGAAAGTAGGCCTACGGAGCGCACGATGCGATCCAATTGAAAGCAATTGAAGGGTAGCGGCAATAGTGGGCACAAACACTCATCATTACAATTGAAGCACACGTGCCATCAATTTGCAGTCTTTACAAGTCTATGGATGACATGGTTTGCCTCAAGTATCCAACAATTGGGTATGTATTGGTGTGTCCGCTCCTCCACATCCATGGGTTAACAAGTAATACACAATATATACAACACATACAACATATGTCAATAATGATGCAAATAATGTGATGCTAGAGATGCCAACTCTATGTTTTGCCTGCACTCCACCCAAAACACTCACTCACTATAAAACAACTGATAAGTTAGAGTTATTTGAGTTTAGTTTATACTCTAAAGTGATATAGACTTCGCTATTATTATAATAAAACGAGTGTTTAATTCATTGAAAGCATAAAACACTGAAAACATCTGCAATTGTGATAATTAGAGGCAGTTTTGATGTCAATTGAATGAATCACTTCAATAAAAAAGTTAACAAAAGATAAATAAGATTTAGTTAATGGAAAAAATATAGCAATTTTAAAATGAAAACGCTATGAATGGGCTTTGAAATAATTTTACGTCAATTTTGCCATTAATGCCTATTTTGTGATCGTATCTCGAGTTTCACTCCTAAGGGATACGGTTTGGAGTTCTTCTAATTGAGTGCATGCAGTGATGCAGTGATCCACTGATGCCACAGATATTGCCCATATTGTGACCCAATCTCCTCACTGGATGTGCTGTCTATACGACTCGTACACATCTTTGCTATACATTTGCCCAACAGTTTGAAAGTGAGTCTAACACACAAATCGGTGCACTCGGCATACCATCTGTCCTATCAGCTCGACTTAATGCTGATGAGTCTGTAATACTCGCATCACTACTATATCACCACTACATCCCATCACATCCCTATCCATTTGCGTCAACTAATCATTGAGGCGTAAATCAAAATATAAATATTAAAATCTAACAAAACAAACGAATAAATAAATCACAAATCCATTCATTCGTCTCAATACTGCTATAAATACTACTTAATCCTAACTGTCATTGCATTTCATAATTGTTAATTAGTTTTTCAATTATTTTCTAATATTTAAGTTATTATAATTACCGTTTTAATAATAATAAAATATATTAAAAGTAATTAAACTACAGTATACAGTGCAACTTCTCTATAATGAACGGCCAGTTGCACGACAAAAGTGTTCATTATAGGGAGGGTTCATCCAAGGGAGGTTCGAGTAAAATGTCTTATTTTTGATTAATATTTGAAAATTCACTAATCACAGAATGAATATAGTGATTATATTGCAGACTTTTGCAATATTGAATGAATCTACAAATGTAAATGTGTTATTTGTTTGTTTAAAGTTTCAGATTAGAAAATATTTTGAATACTTTACAAATCATGTGCTTATAATTATATTTGTTTGTTATAGAGAGTGGAAATTTTATCTTGATCTCTATAAATCCGTTCATAATGGGGAGGTATTCATTATAGAGAAGTTTACCTAAGAGAGGTTATTTTAACATTATAAGTATAGGAAATCCAACGTAGATTTCAAATCCGTTCATTATGAGGAGGTGTTCATCCAAGAGAAGTTTACCCAAGAGAAGTTGCACTGTATTATAGTCTGTTTTTTGTAAATACAAAATTCTGTACAATTTATTATTTTAATATTTTCTATACTAAAATGTATTTTGTAATACAAATATGTGTATTGAATATAATAATATTTGTGATTTGGTTTGGATTTTAATGAAAAGCTCTTAAATTAAGTATTTTGTGAATGATTTGTGAGTGGAATTGAAGTGAAAATTTCCCTTTAGGTTAGAGAGGATTAGTGAGAGTAAAGCGGATATATATTCACCAATATTTAAATGGTTTGAATTCAGTCATGCAATGCGGATGTCGTTTCATAAACTACAACAAAATCCTAACCAGACTTCACTGTTGATGAGTTGGGCTTTAGTTTTGGTTCATTTAGGACCGGCTTTATCACCAAAGATGTACTTTTGGGAAACAATGAAAACAATTTTGATCACTAACTGCATGTGAGTCAATGCAGAGAGAGAGAGAGAGAGAGAGAGAGAGAGAGAGAGAGAGAGTTGGTAGATTGCAACTTGCCAAATGGCGCGAAACAATTCATAACATTTCCTAAATCTTATGCAACATTATGTATGAATTGAAAAGATTTAGTAAACGTTAAAGACTTGTGCAAAAAACAAATACAAAAACATAAATTTATTTTGAATTTATTTTGGTTGAGCGCATAATTTGTATTTCATATGAACTTCATTTGCGGTGTTTATATCCATTTTGTGGGTTCTGTTTGGTCTTTGGTTTAGTGAATGCATTCACTTATAGTTCACTTCATATCAGATAACTTTCGTATAATAAGAGTACTTATAATAGAGAAATACAAAGTAAGTTATCGACAGATTGAAAGCAAACTAACGCCGCTATAAAAGCACCGTTGGCTGAGGGAAACCAATTTAATGAGTGTAGCTTTCGCTGAATACTTTCGTTAGAGA